GAATGTTAAAAAAATACTTTTTTGGGAAAACTGTCAAATAGGTACTCGAACTTTCATAAAAAAGTCAATTAAGTCCTCATGTAGGAGCCAGGAGGCTCTGTCTGGCCGTCGCGATTTGGGGCGGTTCCCATTGGAATTTTTTTATGAAAGTTTTTTAGCATCTTATTCATCAAGTCTAGTTTACTCATACCAAATTTCAGCTAAAACTTCAATCGGGAATGCATTCAAATTAATTCTTGAATATAACTGCGCAATTATCTTAATTGACGGCCGGACAGAACCTCCTACATGAAGACTTAATTGACTTTTTTTATGAAAGTTCGAGGACCTATTTGACATTTTCCCCTACTTTTTTAAACAACACTTCCTTTTCCCAAAAACAAACACTTCCTTATCCACCCAACGCCACTAAATATGTCCAATATAATACAAAAGATTAATGACAAGATTAATAGCAATAACATTTCAATATTTCTTCCTTAGATCCAAAAAGTTCCAGCTAAGCCACTCGATCACTGCTTCATCCGATCTCACCATCTCAGACTAGGGCTTATATGTTAAATCCCACAATATAGGGATTGATCTGCAGACCTGCAAAACATTTAATGAGTAAAATCACGTCCAATTTTTGACATTTTCATACATTTAACATGAGATATAACATACATGCTTAAGTATTTTAATCTTTGAACCTCTTTCCAATTCTTAAAACTTTAGAGTTGAGATTATAAAATAGTTCTATTTCACTAATATGTTATCAAATTCCACTTCATAAATAGTGTTAAGGTACAAATAATATTTTTAATTTGTGAATAACTACACACATGTGTAGCAGTTTGTTATAAGGTTGACAATAATATTAACCTCACCCACATTAATACTATGAAATCCACATATAACAACCTTTACTTATCCCCCACAACAGCAAACAAATAAAGCATATTGATCAAGGTAGTCAAAGTCATGAGGCACACATAAGGCGCTAGAGTAGTGAAAACGCCTAAGGCGCAAGGCAAAAAAAAAAACGCTCGCGTGACTCATAAATTTCTGGCGCACCATCTATATACTATAAAATATATGCCACATTTATAATTCTAAAATATAAAACAAGTTAGAAAAAGAATTAAACAAAACTAAAAGAATAAAATGTATAGCAGGTTAGTTAATACCCCAACCTCTTGTTCTCCCAGTTCAGAGCTTCATTACTTCTACACACGCGAGCCTCATTTGTCCATCTTTATAATCATTTGATTCAAACTCTTTATAGAAACCCCTCACAATAATCTATCATATATTCGTTGTTGCTACTTCTACATGTGTTTCCAAACCACAAGAATGAAAAAAGAAGCTTCTATGTACCAACTGTTATTTTCCTGAGTTTGTGGGAAAAGATAATTTCAATGTAACAATCGCACATGTTTAGAATGAAAAATGATAGCAAGTTAGACTACATTGACTTATGATAATTGAAAATAAAAAATGTCTTTCCAGTTTTTCAACCCTAAGATCTCATTGTCTAGATCAGTTTCTCTTCAACTATTTTGCACACTAATATATAAAATTATAGTAGTACTTATTAACATTTGAATGAGATGTACATCGTGGATATGGAACCCAATAAATCTTTGAAAGAAGCAAATCGGTTTTCTACGTATTTTTATATAGACACAAGGGCGTACGTGAAATTAACTTTGGTACCGCAGTTGCTAAAGAGGTTGGTTCCAGTAGGCATCTCTCCTACCGGAATTTTCTGAAACCTAATAAGGTTCCATCTTCAACCGGTAATAAATCAGACACAGATTATACCCACACACACATATTACAATCAAAGTACAGTAAAACTTACCTGTCCAAGAAGTTGCCTAAGTTGTAGCGCCAACTACAACAAAGTAGAATGCCTACTGCAACATGAATGAAAAATAAATAAATATATGTAATGTATAATATAATACAATGTGAGGGATGAAAACGAAGAACATGAGTGAGGGATGGAATCTGAAATTTTGAAGAGCTGAGCGAAGACAATATTAAGAGTTGAGCCGCTATAGTGCTATACTTTGAATTCCAATTTCCAATTCAAATGGAAAAGTCCCTTGAATGGAACAACCCAAGAGCAAGGGAGAAGCAAACTTTAAAACAACAACTTTGAGATAGCTTTAATGAACCAAATTCCTAACCTAAGAGCAACCAACCATGTATGCAGTATAAATAACATAGAGTAATTACAATCAACAATGTAACTAGTATATAAATTCAGTTGCAAGAAATGCACACAAATAAAAACACTAACACAATTCAATATTTGATTTGCATCGATATTATTCAAATTCAATATTGGAATAACACAAAAAACACAATTAAAAATACAACTAGAAGTTGATAAGTAAATACTCAAATATATTTATACCTCAAATAGCAGATCTGAAATTTTGAATCCATTTTACAGAATTACAGATGAATGTGTGGCTTGAAAGAGATGAGAAGAAGTACCAGTGGCGACGAATTTGATGAGCGGAGGCATGGTGGCTTTGGTAGAAAGAGGCGCGAGGTGGTTGCAACTGCTTATTTTTAGAGTTGGAACTGCTTATTATTGTTGCTGGGTTATGAGGTCAAGGCTGTTTAAGCCAGTTGTGTGAGATGTCAGGATTGCAAGATCGAAGCGGTGCAAATCGGAGGCATGAGTCTACAAGGTTGCAAGGCCGAGGCAATGCGATGGTGAGAATTGGGGGTGGGACTGGTTGGAAGCCGCTTGAAGCAAGAGGAAGGGTTTGGGCGTGCTGCACGTTTCTTCTAAGTTCCAATTGGTAATTTTCCAACTTATTTGCTACGGTTACCATGTTCGCAACAATTAAAATCAAAATTTCCGACTTTATTCTTCCACTGCAGACTTAATTAACGCGGTTTCGCCTGACTGAAGCAAAGCACTCAAAAATAAATTACATATTTGCTACTATTCCTAGTGATCACAACAAATAAACAATAAAAATTTACACTATTTGTTGCGGTTCCAAATTGACCGCATCAAATAACCTTTAAAATATATAGTTATGCAGCAAATAATCCAAAAATATATATTATTTGTTGTGGTTCTATTTAAGACCGCATCAAATAGGTAGCATCATTGTTCTAAAACTCGCTGGGCGTTAGTGGGGCGGTTGAGGGGCGCCCAGCGCCTAGGCGGCCGACTAGGCCGATTTTTTGGCCGACTAGGCTAATTTTTTGACCGACTAGGCCGACTAGACCTCTATAGTTAGGGCCAACTAGGCCGATTAATCGGTCCGCCTAGACCGATTTTTAGAACAGTGGGTAGCATGAAATAACATAAAAATCCTAAACAGAACCACATCAAATAGGTGAAACAATGTCACTCGATGTGAGTGATAAGTTAACATGTTTACTTTCCAAAGTGAAGTTATTAAGAATATGGTTGGTAACTAATAATTTTAGTTCATCTGCCTTATTAGTCATTTTTGTTTATCAACACGTAAGTTTTATTTTGCACGTTGAATTGTACAACATGTCCCCCAAAATTTGACCAACTTTGACTTACATGTATAATATAAAACAAAGTAAAAATTGTGTGATTGAGTTTGTACATAAGAGAGAAACTACTTTAACCATATATTTGTTACTTAAATGGAAATGACATTTTTTGGGACGATAAAAAAGGAAATTGGGTCAAATTTTGTGGGACCGATGAGTCATAGTAATGAACATAAGTAAGTTTAAAGTTACTTTTGTGATTTAATTGGCTGAAGTTATTCTAAAAGGTCATTGTAGTTATTTTCCAAAAGATTTTTATCTTTAATTATCATTAAAAATTAAAAATATAATACTTTCGTAATCAGCTAAAATCTCACTGTTTCAACCCATTTAACCGTTTCCAATGTTACCAAATAATGATTACTAAATATACTTCATCCTTAACATAAAACTTGATCAAATTTGACTTTTACGGTGAATAATAAATTAAAATGTGTGGTTGAAGTTTGTGAACAAGGGAGAAGTTAATAGGAATCACAAATTTTGTAACTAGATAAGAAAATGATAAAATTAGTAGGAAATTTGGAAAAGCAAAATTGACAATTTAAAAGGCCCTTTTCAATTAATATTAATGAATTAAACTCAAAAGATAAAAATATGACTTGTTTTATACTTTTATTAGTTTTCCAAAAGAACGGCATATTTAGTGATTAGTTCTCACTGGCTCATTTTTTTGCTAGACTTTCTAGTCTCTCTTATAGTATCTGTTCAATACTTCATTGTTCAATTCCAACATTTTTGACTGGGATGAGTTTTCGAACCTGTGACCTCCTCCTTGGAATTGAAGTATCACAGTGATGCCATCGAACCACAATGTGCTTGACGTTCTCACTGACTCATTATCTACCAAAGATTTGTCATTCTGAAATACATTGTAATGATTCTTATTCAATTACTCGTATATAATGATAAGTTAATTTTTTGTCCAAAAATATAACTAATCATATTTTTGTCTATGTTTAAAAAACCGACCCGACCCGCCTGGGTCGACCCGGCGATCCAGGAAAAACCCGTTTCAGTTAATTAAAAGCCCGGAAATGATAAAAAACCGGAAAAACCCGGCCGATCCGGCGAAACCGGACCCATAAAACCCGATGAACCCGAAAAAACCCGGTTTTGGTTGTTTTTCCATTCTGTTTTTGTAATCTTCAAGTTTTTTAACCAATAAAATTGCAATATCAATACCCTAAAAAGAATATATTTATATATTTTAATAAGACTAAAATGATATTTTGGAATATCATGAGACTTTTTTTAACTTTTAAGTATTTAGTAAGTATTATTATTAGTTGATTATTATGAAATACCTACTTTTTATTTTAATTTTGTATACAATTATATGTTTATTATTGTTAAAAGGTTGCTCGATTATATAGCGTTGACCGGGTTGACCCGTGATCCTGTCACACAGTCGGGTTGCTCCCCGATCCAGTTTCTTAAACATAGATTTTTGTCCGATGAAGCTCTATTAGTAATATTCCTGTATTTTTTTGATTTAAAATCTGTCATTGGCCCAAATGTTTCATCCGGTCTAATTAAAAAATCACATGCCGATCGTGTTCATCCGATATTCCGATCTACCATTTCTCAACCGCTCATCTCTCGGCCAGACGGTCGTTCGCTGTATTGCTCTCTCCGTTTCCAGAGCTCCTCTTCCCCTAGGTCGGACGCAGTCTACACTACGCCGTTCGTCTAGTATCCCGAGGTAAGTCGTTTATTACTAACTGTCTTCATGTTTTATCCCATCTTGTTTTGTTTGTTCCTACATATCTTTTTATATCTAATCAGCAGTGAATAGATCAAGCTTAGAGGGAGTTGTTGAGCTTCCTTCTTTATCTGTTATTTCAGTTAAACGATGAATAGTTTTTTAAATTAAGAGTTGTAATAAACTGTAATTTAATGACCAACCATTAGCCGGCAGTGTCTCCTGCGTACAGAGGAGAGCCAAAATTCTGCAGATTAATTGTTTCCGTCATCATTGTCAGCCGGGAAGAGTTATCTCAGGCTGTCCAGCTTAAATATATAGATATTTCACCCAAAGTAAAGGTTCCAGATCCACGTCTGATTACAAACATAGCACACTGGACCATTATATACAATCATCTCAGAACCACACCTTATAAGACTTATAAGACAGCCTTCAAGAGTACTACTACCTCCGTCCCATTTTATGTGTTCTACTTTGGTTTGGCAAAAATATTAATGAAGTAGTTGAAAAAGTAAAAGTTATGGCTGAGATTTGAGTATAATGAAGTGAAATGTTATAGACCACATATTTCTTTCCATTTCCAAAAAAGGAATTGTGACACTTATTTTGGAGTATTACTTCCACTTTTGATCTCGCAACCATTAGAACGCTTCTGGAGGTTAAGTCCCTAATACTTATATCTCCAATTTTAGTCCAACGAGTATAGTTTTTTGTCACTCATGACCTGACTATAAAGTATAACAAAGCTATAGTCCTAGGATCAAAAGTGGAGAATTGAATGCCTGGGACCAAAAGTAAGGATTACCTATCAATGGTGGGACCAAAATTGAAATTAATTAAACTCATGTTTTTGGATGGTAACTTAGCGGGTGTTTGGATCTACTTCTTAAAACTGTTTCTACCCCTTCAAGGAGTAGAAACAGATATTGGAGTGTTTGGGTGAAAGCAGGGGCAAGGGGGCCATGGTTCCCCAAATTTTTATTTTTTAGTAGTAGACTAGTAGTAGTAGTATTGCTTAGTTTATCTTATATTTATTTATCTTTATCTTATTCGATTTATCATTTTTTTCTTCTTGTTTGTCTTCTGTTTTTGGCTTCGATATCATGGATCGATTCGTTTTAGGCGACCCCAAATCTTTTGGGATTAAGGCTTGGATGTCGTAGTAGTAGTAGTAGTATAGCTTAGTTTTTTATTTGGCCCCTTTCTCATTTTTTAGCAAATATCATGTACTTCAAATATAACATTTATAGGCTTCTAATTCATTTTGTGGGGTGTATCAGCTAAGCAGGAAGTAAAATTAAACTTTAAGTTTAATTGGGTTGCAATTGGGTTTATTCATGTAACCTAGACTAGATAGGGAAAATTTCCTTTAAAAAAAGGACCGGGGAAATTTGGAGTTGGACTATAAAGGATGTATTTTCTTAAGAGAATACTTTCAACTTTTAAATTTAAAAAGTTAGTATCAGCGTTTACAAATAGATGTCTACACTTATTAAACGTTTTAGAGTTAAAAGCTAGAAACAAACTTTTTTTACCTTTTCTATTACACAAAATGCACTTTTTAATCAAAACTATTATTCCCTCCGTCATGTTGAAGGGTTCTCACTTTCCCCAAGTTTCCTATTCCATTTTATGAAATAATTTACTCACTTTAATTACATCTTTACTCAAGTTTCTATTTCCTACTCATCACATGTCAAGTTTCACAATTTCCCCTCCCTCAACTTATCACCCTTTAATTACTTTTACTTTATATGTTTACTTTTTCTAAATTTTCTCTTTCCTCTCTCCTTTTACCCAAATTACTTTATTTAACCACTTGTCTAAACAAATTTTGCCATTTATCCATGGGAACCTTCCAACAGGACGGAGGGAGTACTATTCCAAATCATTATTCTTGAGTACATAGTAATAATCGAGAATTTAAGTTGTATCACATTATAACATGTTGAATATTTTAGTGGCAATACTTTAAGACTTTTTACATTTGAAATTCAATTAATTATCGATGATTTCTTTGACGTGCAAGAGAGAAGTTTTAAGTACTACCTCCGTCCATTTTATGTGTCTCCTTTGGTTTTGACACAATTTTTAATAAAGTGGTTGAAAAGGTAAAAGTTGTGGTTGAGATTTGAGTATATTAAAGTGAAATGTTGTGAACCACATATTTCTTTCCAAAAAGGAAATATGTGACTCTTATAATGGGACGGAGGGAGTATCAATTGACGTGCTATTGGATAATGTTTTTCAATTTTTTTTGATGAATATTAATACATCATTTGATATTAACATTACATTTTAGGTTACTGTTTGTACTTTATCTCAGCCCCCTCCCTTTCCAATCCTAGTTCTGCCCCTGAGTGAAAGTGTAAAAGTACTTCTGGGTGCTCCAACTTGCTCCTAGAAAAAGTTTTTTAGAAGTTGGGGGAGACCAGCTTCTAAAAAAATTGATTGTGATTCTGCTTCTACTTTTAAAAAAGAAGCAAAAGCAGAATCAATTACAAACACCATATTAGTAGAAGTTTTCTTCTCCTTTTGTATATAGGAGGATTTTTTGCTATAAACCTCCAACAGACATTTTTGGGTCAACCAAATATGAGTTCTTTACGCCATTACACTCCTCAGGCACCTTCTATATAAGCTGGTGCAAGATTTGATTGACTTCATTAATTAATGGGCAAATTCTTGTACCAGTTCATGCGGAATACAAAATGATTAAACAAGTACTTTGTCGGGGATGTGAAAGTCATTGAACAAAGCATGAGGACTTAACTGACAGTTGCTGCACATCTCTGGTTTTATGTTGCATTTTATCATTTTGTTTTGTTTTGTTTTGTTTTGTGTTTCAGTTTTTAACTGCAAAGTGCAAACTATACAAAGTTGTGAATCTAATGCATCTCTGTTGAATATAACAGAGTAGAAGAATGAGATAGGAGATTTTAAGGAACAAGCTCATTTCTTCTAAGGCTCAAAAGTTGAAAGAGTGTACAGCATGGTAATGGATACAACCATGTCACTTTTGAGGGATAGATTGAAACTTGCATCTGATTGGGTGGAATCAACATTTGAGGCTCCTTTTTCAGGAGCTATTCTTTTCGGAGTGCCTGTTGGGGGTATTTGTTTCTTTATATGTCTTAAAGAGCTTTTTATTCTACATACCATGATGTTTGCAATGCAATATCAATTCCATAATTTTGATTGTAGGGCATCTTTTTATGGAGGGACTTCTTTTGGTGGTCATCTTATTTCTTCTCTCCCAGAAGAGTTATAAGCCACCCAAAAGGCCATTGACAAAGAAGGTTTGTTCTAGAATGTAACACATAAGGAGTCATAGAATTTCATTTAGTGTGGATCCATCGTTATCGTTCTTACCTGAACATAAGTTTTGCATCGTAGGTTATGTTAGATTAACTAGGCAGATTACATTTTACTGCTTTTGGCATTGCAAACCTAGATTAAAACTTCCACTTTCATTCATTAGAATTTTAGGGGAGCCTTGGCGCAAGAGATCATAATGTCAAGTCCTGGGAACGACCCCTTGTAAAAATTACAAGGGAAGACTTACTCTTTATACACCCTTGTGGTGGGACCCTTCCTCATATCCTCGCCTTGCGGGGACACCAATTTACACTGGACTGCCTATTTTTCATTCATTAGAATTTGGAAGTACTTCATAATAATTTACAACATTGCAAATTTTGGCTCCATCTTCGGATGTTTTTTATTGGACTTCTTTCAGTCATAGACCAAACTAGACCTAAACATATCAGACCAGATCAGACCACACTTAAACAATAGTAAAGTACATATACACTAGACATTTACGAGATAATATCAGATTTAATAGACTAGATTAGACTCAAGCTGAGTGGACAAACCAGATTTAACTACAGGTTGAAGTTTTTAAGGACACATTTGCTATTTCATATTTGCAATGGAGCCAAAGATTCATTATTTTTTGGCTTGAGAATATGATGGAATAGAGCAAAATGGCTCACTAAACTGTCTGCACTTCTTTGTTATGAAGTAGCAGTCAGTCCATGCAATTTTGGACGCGATTTTCACTATGGGTCATCCGGAAAGAGTCTCTCTGTGCTTTAGTGGGGTAAGACTGCGTACATCCAACCCCCCTTACCCCACCGTAGGTGGGAGCCTTTGCGGCACTGGGGTAAATGAAAATGAAATGAATGATTTGCTAATTCATATTTATCCTCAATAGCACCGTAGTAGCTAAACACATTAATAACTATTACATTCAGCTAGGATGAACATTTTATGGTTCCAAATATGTCTATCTCGTTCACAACTCAGTATCCCATTACTTTTGTGTATCATGCAATTTGATTAATGTCTTGCTCTTGTTTTTAGGAAATTGATGAGCTATGCGAAGAATGGACCCCAGACCCTCTTATTCCTACAATCACAACTGAGATGACACATGAACCTAAAGTCTTAGAAAGGTGGAAACTCTCACCTCTTTATTTGATTCATCTTGTTATTAGATTTAGATGAGATATTCAAGCAAGTCCTTTTATTTTTTGCTATCCTGAATACGGATAAGCATAGAGTTTTTGAAGAAAATATATGTTTTCAGTCTAGCATGACATGACACATTTTTTACTTCTGCATTGCTCTTTTCAATTCACCTTTTCAGACTTGCTAATTGTGTTTAGAAGTGTGTTTTCTTTTAACTATTAAGTTATGATGTGTCCATAAAAGAGTTTTTCCTACTTTTAGGCCTCTGACTATTGTGTTAATGACATTTTTGGTAGTCGTGATTGAATTTTGACACAATAGCTGAACGATCAAAAGCTTTAATGTAATAGTTGGAGGATTAAAAGTGCAACTTCCACAATAATCAAGGCATGTTGGAAAATTTAAAAATGAGTACAAAAGAATCCTTCATAATAGTCGAAGGATTAAAAGTGGAAAGGTAGAAAGTAGAATATCAAAAGTGTCATTGGCACACTAGTTGGAGGACTAAAAGTTGCAAAACTCCCTTTAGAGATTGATTTCCTTCTGGTGCATTCCTTCAAAGTTGTGTTGGAACAGTGCTGCAGGACCCCATGCTATAATTGATGGCAAAGAAGTTGTAAACTTTACTTCAGCAAATTATCTTGGTTTGGTTGGACATGAAAAGATTCTTGTAAGAAAACTTTGATTTTACCATTTTGATCATTACTTCTTTTCTTACCTTTAGTTGAGTGAGCAGCATTCACACCTGTGTATTGGTACAGGAAACATGCACTACAGCACTGGAAAAGTATGGTGTTGGGTCTTGCGGTCCTCGTGGGTTTTATGGAACAATTGGTAAGATACACAATACACGGGAAGCTGCATATAGCAGTTACTCGTTCACTTGTATGCTGCAATTCTCACTTCATGGTTTGATTGTAAGACCCATCTGATATTCTTCATTAATCCAGATGTTCACCTAGATTGTGAAGCCAGAATAGCAAAGTTTATAGGGACGCCTGATTCTATACTCTACTCTTATGGACTTTCTACAATGTTCAGTGCAATTCCAGCATTTTGCAAAAAAGGAGATGTGATTGTTGTGTGAGTATACTTGTGCTTGTACTTGTACTTCATTGATATCTGAGCTTTCAGTGTATCTTTTCTAGAGGTACCATTACTCTAATGTTGTGAAAGTTTTTGAAGTAACATGTGTACATCATGTACTGTTCAGAATACTACAATAAGGCAAACTGCGGGGTCATCTTTTCTTTGTTATCCATATAGTGCTTGAACATACACAAGATTTGGATTAAATACTATTCATTTTTATACTTTTTATATACTATCGCAGTTTCATCTTTTGATCTGAAAAGTTGCTCCAGCTGTGTTCATCTCATGTTGCCAACAGTAACTTGTGTTTTTCATTAATTGGCTTTTTGTTATTGAGGTGAGTGGGGGCGGGAGCTTACCATATGGTCTTTCTTTCTATTTATTCGGACATTAGTACCCCTTTTTTCAGTGTGTAAATATATAGTTCTATATCAATGTTCTTTCAACGAGTTGTCCTTAAGCCCTTTGGCTATTGTGATTTTCTCACTCAATCGCCCTGTAATTCATTTTGTACAACTTGATCCCCATATTTTTTTGTTTCATGCTGCATCCCCTTTTAACAATTGCAGTTATCAGTAGGTACATATACATATACAGATACATATAAATATTGTGCATACATATACATATACATATACATATACATATACATATACATATACATATACATATACATATACATATACATATACATATACATATACATATACATATACATATACATATACATATACATATACATATACATATACATATACATATACATATACATATACATAGAAAAGATCAGGTCCCTCCGGAGGGACGGGAGGGACCGTCCGGCCAAGGCCATCTGAGGCCCTTCCCGGTGGAATTTTTTGCTGAAATGTTTTGAGCATGTTCTTCATGAAGTCTAGTTTATCCATACCAAATTTCAGCTAAAAATTCAACCGGGAAGGCACTCAAATGATTTTTGGAAGATAACTGCGTTTTATGTATATAAACTGCGCAGTTATCTTCCAAAAATCATTTGAGTGCCTTCCCGGTTGAATTTTTAGCTGAAATTTGGTATGGATAAACTAGACTTGATGAGGAACATGCTCAAAACATCAAAAAATTCCACCGAGAAGGGCCCCAAATGGCGACGGCCAGACGGCGGGTCCTGTCCCTCCGGCTGGACAGGATCAGGCCTCTACATATACATATACATATACATATACGAGGAAATTTCATGTCAGGACCTCTAAAAACGGACCTCCGTACGGACCTCGGCGTTTGGGCCCCTTCCCGGTGGAATTTTTTGATGAAACTTTTTGAGCATGTTCTTCATCAAGTCTAGTTTATGCATACCAAATTTCAGCTACAAATTCAATCGGGAAGGCAGTCAAATGATTTTTGGAAGTTAACTGCATTTTATATGTATATTAAGTGCGCAGTTAATTTCCAAAAATCATTTGACTGCCTTTCCGATGGAATTTTTAGCTGAAATTTGGTATGGATAAACTAGACTTGATGAAGAACAAGCTAAAAAAAATTCATCAAAAAATTCCACCGGGAAGAGGCCCAAACGTCGAGGTCCCTACGGAGGTCCGTTTCCGGATGGTCCTGACAAGAAGACTACTCTACATATACATATACATATACTTATACATTTACATGTACATGTACATGTACATATACATATACATATACATATACATATACATATACATATACATATACATATACATATACAAAGTGCTCTTCATGTCAGGCCGGCCTGACGGGCTGCCCCGTCCGGCCGAGCCCGTTTGGGCACCTTCCCGGTGGAATTTTTTGATGAAATTTTTTGAGCATGTTCCTCGTCAAGTCTAGTTTGTCCATACCAAATTTCAGCTCAAAATTCAATCGGGAAGGTCGTCAAATGATTTTTGCAAGTTCACTGGTCCGGAATAATGAAGGTGCCCAAACGGGCTCGGCCGGACGGGGCAGCCCGTCAGGTCGGCCTGACATGAAGTTTTCTCTACATATACATATTGTGCATTGTAGGTCTTAGTTGCGGGTTTGTGATGAGGGTGAAATGCACGGAGTTTATGTCTATCTTTCTGCCTTAAGACTGTACTGATTTCTCATTTAGGCTTTCCACCTGGGTAATATTTAGGGATTTGATGATGATATTATCCCTATTGTAGTTCGGAATATGTGACTTCAATGTAAAAAGTATTTCACCCCTAAATATTCATGTGATGAGTCTTATTCTGCCCTCACTTGATTAGAATGTGGGGAAGAATGAAGTTGATGAGTTGATCTGTACCATTTTTACTTTTGGAGCATGAGTTAAAGGCCTGATTTTGTTTCAAATTAGTTGCAATATGATTTGGATAATAAAAATTCCACGCTGTAAAAGACATGTGGCTGACACAAGATCAACTGTTTTTAAGGAATTGATGAGGCTAATCGATGAGGGAAGGTAGAGAGGACATAGTGTTTGAAATAAAAACTTTGAGCATTGTTCACTTCAGCGGTACAAAAGGAAGTCCTGGGATTAGACAAGGCAGTCACAATAGGCAGAGGGGATTCATAAAATTAGCTCAAAATGGAATGACAATGGTTTTAAGCATGAAATCCAAGTTACCTCTAGTAATAATACCACCATTGGTCTATGCTCTTGCAGGGATGAAGGAGTTCACTGGGGAATACAAAATGGGCTTCAGCTGTCTAGGAGTACAGTCATATATTTTAAGCACAACAATATGGATTCATTAAGGAGTACGCTGGAGAAAGTTATTCAAGAGAATAAGCGAGCTAAGAAAATCAGACGCTATATTGTTGTGGAAGCAGTATATCAGGTACTCAGTGGTTATAACAAAATCAAAATTTGATTATAAAAGCACGTTGACACCACATAGAGCATTCTCCCCCCAATGAGGCCTCAGAGAGTTCCATTTTACATGACTTTAATTTTAACTTCTGCATTCATTTGCACTGTACTTGTTTTCCACTGCAAATATTACCTTCATGCCTGTTGATCATATTTAGCGCTACCTGCAGAATTCTGGTCAAATTGCTCCATTGGATGCAATCATAAAACTTAAAGAACAATATAAGTTCCGTGTTTTACTGGATGAGAGCAATTCTTTTGGTGTTCTTGGCAGTTCAGGGAGAGGTCTTACTGAACACTTCAAAGTACCAGTATGTTATGACATACTTTTCTTAAATTTAGTCATTAAATATGTGTACTTGTATTGGATGATGACATCTATTCACAGGTTGAAAAGATTGACATCATAACTGCTGCAATGGGACATGCATTAGCCACTGAAGGAGGTTTTTGCACGGGTAGCAATAGAGTCATTGATCATCAGGTACGATGAGTGTGCTTTAGTTGCATCTGCAAAGTTGGTCACCCAACAAGACCATTCAAGTTAATGTATGTGTCTAAATATTTTGCTACTTATGGCAGCGACTCAGTAGTTCCGGTTATGTCTTTTCTGCTTCTTTACCTCCATACCTAGCAAGTGCTGCAATCACAGCCATCAATATCCTGGAAGAAAATCCTGCTCTCATTACCAAACTAAGGGAAAATATCAAGACTATCCTCACGGGTCTGTATGTTTTAAAACTATCTTGTACTGTCCTTTGACCTGGTCCAAGAATTAAGTGCAAGAATGATTTCTTGGATGCCTGCAGGTTTATCAGATATAAAAGGTCTAGATTTAGTGAGTGATCCTCTTTCTCCAATTGTATTCCTCAAACTAAAGAAGTCAACTGGTTCTATAAAGAGTGACCTACAAGTGCTAGAGGATATTGCTGATCGAGTAAGTACTGTTCTTGATATCCAATGTAGCAAACATGCACGAGCACACACATGTATGCATGTTGTATGTATATATGTGTGTGCACGTGTGTGTGTATTGTATCTAGACGCAAATGCTCCATTCTTGATAAAATATTCTGTTTTATGTATCCTTGTCTAGCGCCCCCTCCAGGCAATAGACTTCCCTGGGCTCTATCTACAATGTTTTTAGAACTAATATGTCATGTAATACATAAATTGTCATTGCAGGTGCTGAAGGAAGATTCAGTTTTTGTTGCGACCACTAAGAGATCAACGCTGGACAAATGCAATTTGCCAGTGGGAATTAAGTTGTTTGTCTCTGCTGGTCACTCAGAATCTGATATGATGAAAGCCAGTGAATCTTTGAAAGGAGCTGCTGCAACATTGTTGACCTGTCAATAACTAGGCCCTGCAATTTTACGCATCATCCAGCCAAATTCTAAGCAACTCCATGTTGAGGGTGTGAAAAAAATCAAATTTATGTACCTTTTGTGGCAATTAACTATGCATTTGCTGACAATCGATCAATCTAGAGATAGTTTGATTGCATGCGGGAGATATCTATTGATTTCATTCTTGACAGATTTTACATACTAATAATTGTGTATATAGAAAATGTACAGAGGAATTGTTTTTTTAATGGAAATCGCTAATTTGATATCATAATTAGTATTTTGTAGAAAAGATAGCTCAGAACTGAGACACTGAGTAGCCCAAAATTGAACAAATTGCAGCTTTGAAGATTGATTCGATCCTCAAAGTCTCAATACACACAATAATTGTAGTAAAATTAAACATCACAAAACTATGCATGGACCTGGACCGGTTCCTGTCACGGATCGGTGGGTCTTTGAAAAAATGTATGTAGGACTGGGACCGGGACTTTTATTTTCGGTTCCTGGACAGTTTTGGGTCCCCAATTGGTCTCAATTTTGGACCAGTCTCGGGGTTTTTTATGTTTTTAACACACTTTTAAAAATTTAAACCCTCCCGGATCTACACCTCTTTTAGACTTTTAAGTGGACCTATAACCCTTATGAAATGTTTTGCAATGGTTTAATAGCAAAACAAAAAAACAATAGTTGAAAACCGCTCCAGTCCTAGTCCAGACTCCAGACCTAAAAAATAGAGGTCACCTTAATCCATAAACTTGTGATTTTTTTAATGAAATATATACAAATTTGGATGAGATTTGAACTTGTGATATTCTTCCTGAGAGTGTCACCGTGATGTCATCAGACTACAAGATATTTGAGCATAATGCAACTATTTTAAAGCCTCTCTCTGTGTCAAAATTTATATTTTAAAACAAAAAGGTTGGGTATATTTTTTATGTGTAAATCATTCACACACTTTGTCTTTTTATACTAGGGGTGGACTCGGGCCGGGCCAACCGGCCCGGAACCGGACCGGCCCGCTACTGTGCGGGCCCGGACCGGCCCGGTCACCCGGTTCTTGACCGGTTCGGGCCACCCGGCCCGGGGGTATAGCGGTCAGGGCCCGGGCCTCCATTTTAGTGAACCGGCCCGGCCGGGCCGGGCCCGGTTCGGGCCTCCAACGGCCAAATTTTTTTAAATTTTTTTTTTTTTAAAATTGGAAGAGCTCCTCCTAGCCGTTGGGAAGGCTCCCAAACGGCTCTATAGCCGTTGGGAGCATAGGAGGGGGGGTCTGGGGGGTTAGGGGGGTGGGGTGGGGGGTGGGGGTGGGGTATAAAAAAAAAATCTATTTAAACTCCTATTTTCTCTACATTTTTTACATCTCTTCTTCTACAACTCTTCCTACTCTCTAATTCTCTACTCTAAATCTCTCATATTCAATCATCTTCATTCTTCATCTTCTCCAAATTCTTTCTACATATATATAATTATTATTCTACTTATATATTAATTATCTATATAAAAATATATACTTATACACATTCATATTATAATTCTTTACACATTATATATACTATATAAGTATATATACTATACACATTCATATTCACTTGATATTTAGTTATTATCCATACTATTGTTATTTACTTATATTTACATTTTACATTTAGTTAATATATACTTATATATATATATATATATATATATATATTAAAGTATTATGTATAAGTGTATTACTCATCTTATAGTAATATACTTATATATTATATACTATAAACATTATATTATATATTACTTATAAATTATAATATATTTACACATTATATATACTATATATACTTATACACATTCATATTTATTTGATATTTAGTTTTTATACATACTATTGTTATTTACTTATATTTACATATTACATTTAGTTAATATATACTTATATATATATATATATATATTAAAGTATTAAGTATAAGTGTATTACTCATCTTATAGTAATATACTTATATATTATATACTATAAACATTATATTATATATTACTTATAATAGTAGTTAATTGTTAGACTTCTAATTTATCTATTAAATTAGTTAATTGTTACAATTCTCTACATTTCTCTTTCAAAAATTAAATAGTTAAAGTAGTATATTTTTACATTTGTCATATTTCAATTAGTTAAAGTACTTAATTGTTTCATTTGTCATATTAAAATTAGTTATTTCATACATTGCTCATTAAAGTAAAAAAAAAAACTAGTTAAGTTTGCGTGAATTTTTACATTTTTACATTTGCGTGAATTAAAGTAATATTTGCTACTAATTGCTACTTAAATGTAACATTTCTCATTAAGGTAAAAATAACTAGTAAATTTTTACATTTGTCATTTTAAAAACTACCTAAAGTAGTTAATTGTTAAAATTGTCATATTAATATTAGTTAAACTACCTAATTGTTACATTTCTCATATTAATATTAGTTAATTTGTACATTGCTCATTAAAGTAAAAAAAAAACTAGTTAATTTTTACATTTGTCATATTTATATTAGTCAAACTAGTTAATATTTAGTTAATTGATACATTTCTCATTAAAGTATTAATTAGAAGTAGTTCGATTTGTATACTCATATTTTAGTTCGAATTCGCAATAGTTTTCTTAGTCACATTTTATTATTACTATTGTACTCATATAAAATATTTGATATCATTTAATATTTGTTCAATTTTAAAGATGGAACGTGGTAGACATTCTGTAGATGTGGGTAATCTCCAACGCAACCGCAAGAGGGAGATTGCGTCGACTCGTCCTAATTCACGCAAAGGCAAAGGTAAAGCGCGGGCCGAGTCTTCTTTTCAAAGTCGAGATGATTTTGAAACGGATTACCAACGGAGAGATGATATGATGATGTCCGACGAGCATCTACAAAACCTATTGTCCCAAAACGATCCATGCTTTGCACAAGAACAACCCATCCCGACAACCATTGATGAAGAGGAGCTCGAGGATGACGATGCGGAGGAGGACGCGGGGGGCGACGGGACTCACGGCACCCCGGATGATGAGCAAGACTTGGAGGACGAGGGCGGTTCAACCCAAACTGGTAAGAAATCTAAATCTCCTATTATTGAAAACAATTTTACAAAAAGGAAAGACAAAAATACCGAAAAATGGTACGCAAGTTGCAATCATTGCGGCAAAGAGTATAGCTTGGGAACTTCTGGCGGATACGGGAGTCTCACAAGGCATCTTAAATCCGCCCATCTTGTGGAGTATGCGAAAATAGACAAGGGCAAGGGGAAGCAAACACAAATATCGAGGTTTGCAAATTCTCAACCCTTTGGTAATTTCTCCTATGATGATCAAAAACATTTGACTGGTATGTCTCATTTAATTGTTGAAGAAAATTTACCCTATATTTTTTCCGAAAGTCTTGCTTTAAGAGATTATGCTCAAGGCACTTTAAATCCTCAATTTAGAAATTATAGTCGCAAAACGATTAAAAAAGAAGTTATAAGGCAATATAACTTCGAAAAAGAAAATTTACAAACATTTTTCGCAAACTTTAATGGACGTGTTAGTATTTGTAGCGATATATGGGAGGATACTTATCATCATTTATATTATTTGGGTCTTACTGCACATTATATTGATGATGATTGGAATATGCATAAACGTGTTCTTGCATTTCGTGAATTCAATGATCGTCATACTGCTGATAATATTTATATTCTCATTGAGCGTATTTTAATTGAGTATAATTTGCTTGATAAGGTGTTTGCTGTAGGTTTTGATAATGCTAGTAATAATACTGCTGCTATACCTAGATTGCGTGAATTGTGTGGTGCTTCTACATTGATGGGTAGGTTTTTTCATCAACGTTGTGCATGTCATATTCTAAATTTGTGTGTACAAGATGGATTAGCGGCATTAGGAAATGCTTTGGAGGTAGTGAAGGGGGGAATTAAATTGATTTGGGCTAACACTCCACTAAAAATGCAATGGCGACAATATTTGAAGGAAAGACGTGTCAATTATTGTGCTTTTCCTAAAGATTTGTCTATTCGTTGGAATAGTACTTATAACTTAATTCAAGTACTTATTAGATATAAAGAACATTTTCCTGCTTTTTTAAGACAAACTTGTAACTATATTATAAACCCGGCTGACATCGACACTTGTGAAAAAATTGTTAATGTTTTGGTATATTTTAATAACGCAACTCAAACTTTTAGTCATGTTTATAAACCTACCGCAAACGAATTTTTTGTTGAAGCTGTTAATCTCGCCGGCGCATTTTTAGAATTTTCCGATGCCGCTTACATTAGTTATTTTTGTGATTTCATGAAACAAAAATTTTTAAAATATTATTCACATGTTCCGCATATATATGGTATTGCATTTGTTCTTGATCCTCGTTATAGACTTGCCGCGTTGCCAAGTTGTATAGATTACTATTATAATTGTTTTTTTCCAACTCAAGAGTTCGATGATAATCCCATCGACCCTAAACAAGAATACAACGAGGTTAGTAATTTATTTCATCAATTGTATAATGAATTTTATGCACAATATGGTAATGCACCCCCTCCCATGCCGCGAACATCTTCTTCATCTAAAGGAAAATCACTTTTAAAATCTGCATTTGGTTCTCTTATGAAAAAAAGTAGAGCAACTCCCGCTACTGAACAAAGCTCAGTTAACGAGCTTTCTATCTATCTAACATTGAATGTTGATTATGAAGTTGGGGATGATTTTGACGTTCTTAAGTGGTGGAAGGACAATGAAAGAACGTTCCCGGTTTTATCAAAACTGGCTAAGCAAGTGCTAGCAATGCCGATATCAACAGTTGCCGTGGAACAAGAATTTAGTGCGGCCGGCAACGTCCTAACTGATTATAGAACGAGGTTGAGCCCGAGCTCTCTTGAGACGCTAGTTTGCTTCCATGATTGGTTGAAGGCCAAACGAAGAACTCAAGAAATGACCATCGCTCCCACCCGCCACTTTATGGAGGAAACAACCACCGAAGGCGGAGATTCCGATTGATTTTTTATTTCAAAATGTATTACATATTTTAAATGCATCCTAATTCTCAATTGTACTTCTTATTTGAAATAAATATACTTGAATTATTTTATATTATTGTGTACATCAATTCAATAATTCAATTCAATAAAATTCATTTGTAAACTTGTACTTCATATGTAGCACTTCTCAAATTAATTAATTGGTTACAATTTTACAAACTTATAACTTACAACTTGAAATTATTTTTGTAAAATCTAAAGGCTGTTTTTAAATTAAAATATGTAATATTAATATGTAAATTAATTAATTTGTTACAAACTTACAAGTTACAACTTATACACCTATTTTGTAACATTTGTAAATTATAAATCAAATCACTTTTCTAAGTAAAAATAGTTTTACTTAATTAAAAAATTAAAAACATTTTCCTTACACAATATGTATAATTTTCTAAATCATATCACTTTCCTTACACTTTTCTAAATCAAATCACTTTTCTAAGTAAATTATACACAATATGTATAATTTTCAAAAAAAGAAAATTAAAACATTTTGAAGTGGGAGATTGCTCCCAAACGGCTATATAGCCGTTGGGGCTTAGGGTGGGGGGTGGGGGGGTCGCGGGGGTGGTGGGGTGGGGGTGGGGTTCAAAAAAATCTATAAATACATCTATTTTCTACCATTTTCTACACCTCTTCTCCAACTCTTCTCCATCTTCATCTTCTCTTATTATCCTACATTTCTACTTATACATCTACCATTTTAAAGATGGAAAGTAATTCTTCTGTTATGCAAAACAACTTTGACAAGTGGAAGGATCCGAAGACCGGACTGTGGTGGGTAACTTGCAAGTGGTGCAAGAAAGAGTGTTGCTTGGGGCGTTCACACGGAGTCGGGATGCCAATGAAACATATGAAGTCATGTGACAAAGGTAAAACAACAACCAACGGTGGCGGAAATCCCAATTGATATTTATTCGAAAATGTATTTCATATTGTTATTTTTTCCTCAATTCTCAAATGTACTTCCTATTTCAAATAAATGCACTTGAATTTTGTTTTTCATAACAATTATTATAATTATATAGTATAGAATATAAAAAAAAATGAAAAGGACCGGCCCGAGAACCGGGCGGGCCACCCGGCCCGAACCGGACCCGGGGTTACCCGGGCCGGTTCCGGGCCTCCCAAACCGTGAACCGAGGCCCGGCCGGTTCAAGGCCCGAACCGAGTCCATGCCTATTTTATACAGACAAAATATCTATATACAAACAAATTCTGCATTTAGAGACGAGTTGTCTATATACAAATATGGCGAGATGTCTATATACAAATATTTTTCCATAAAAATATAGATATGCGAATAATGTAGGAAAAGAGTGTACACCAAATATTGTTCATTTTAAAGGCATGGTTCACTTTCAAACCTTTGTCCACCTTTGAGACAAGTTCTCCAAAAAAAAGAACGACACCCCATCCCTGAGGGCCCCCAACACCGATCGGACGGCATGATGGGAGGATGTAAATTGGACTATAATCACAATCACATAGATAGAGAGTGATGCTCTGTTTGCGGTACTTGCAGAGACCCTATGCATTTTTCAGCATAGTAATCCTTCATCACAGTTGCAGGGATTCAAACCCGAGACCTAACCCTTGTGGCACTCCCTCGCTACCAGTTGAGCTATGCCCACATGTCACTTTTACAAGTTCTCCAAATTAGACTAAACGGTGTCGCTCTTCCCTTGCCTGTTGCAGAAGCCAGAAGAAAGAGGTCAAGGTGTGAGTTGGCGTGTTATCCACTTCTCGGTCGAGCTAAAAATTGAAGGCAGTAATGGCAGCTTCATTATCGTCAACAATCCATCTCCAAGGAAATGGGACAAAGCTCTCATCTTTTCCGCCTTATTTCAATATTTCTTCAAACCCAGGCATCCCTCTCCATTTCCTCCACAGTCGCAGTAAGCCCGTGTCTCTCATTTCCTCTCGCAGGCCTCTCACCGTCTTCGCCATGGCTCCTCCTAAGCCTAAGCCGTCCGGCGGAAAAGCCAAGAAAGGTAACAATTTGTATTGCAATCCGTGGTATATTTATTTTCATATTCGAAATCCCCCCCCCCCCCCCCAATATTGTCATATTGACTTGAGATGGGCTTACAGTCACTGCGGTGGTAAAGCTGGCTCTGGAGGCAGGGAAGGCGACGCCGGCTCCACCTGTAGGACCCGCACTGGGTGCGAAAGGTGTCAACATTATGGCTTTTTGTAAAGATTATAATGCTAGGACTGCAGATAAAGCCGGATATATCATTCCTGTTGAAGTCACCATCTTTGATGTTAGTTCCCTAATTTCTATTTGCTCTATCTTGATCTTCATTTTTCATTCATAGGAGAAATGTTAAACTTCAGCCTTTGTTTATATTTAGTTCTGATTTTCCAATTCAGTGTGTTGGTGTTTGACTATAACACCTATGGTGAAGTTTGTTCATTAGGTAATTTGATTATGTCACTGTTGGTTGACATTGATGCAGGATAAAAGCTTCACCTTTGTCTTGAAGACACCACCTGCTTCAGTGTTGCTACTAAAGGCAGCTGGTAGGTTTTGGCTTTCCACTAAAGTTCTTCTCAATTTCTCAGCTTTCTCTACTTTCCTTAAATAATTCCTGAACTCGGGTTTTGTTAAAAAAATGTTATCGCTGAACTCAGCTTAATTGCAACAAAGTGCGCTAAGTATGTTTTGGCTGATCTACCCCTATTCCTCTATGGTTGAGAGGGATGACTGTTTAGCTACAAACGTTTAGTACACACATCTGTTTATTTACTGTATACACTCTATACCAGCTTTTTGCTATGAGTTTGCTGTATAATTGTTTCAGATAATTTTAGTTATCTTGTAATAGGTGATTTGAGGCCCCTTGTCTTGAGATTGGAAGGATAAGAATATCCTCTGTTGAAAAATTTGGTTTACCCTTGTACATACATGTTTTGGAAAAAATTGGTAGGAAATGTAAGCTACATCACTGAATGGAGACACCATGTAAACCAGCAATGGTTGTAGTTTATATCTATTGCTTTCTTGCCCAACCCCTGAGATTCAAGCATCTCTAAAATACGGTTTGGATAGCTCAGTAAGAGGAAAATATGCTTTAAGCTGGCTTGTGTGGAATCCTAAGTTGAACTATTACAGATAGAATTATGGGTTAATAAGACCTTGGGTTGAACTAGCTAAAAGATTATATTCAAACTTTTGTCTGGTTTGGCCAAAGTGCCTTATGACCTACTTGAATCATCCCAACCGAAATCCTGAATTCTTTACGGCTTCAAGTCAAAGATGACTTATTCTGGCAGATGTAAAAGGTTATTCGGTAGTCAATTCCATCTGTAGGAAATTGTTGCTGAATATTCGCACTATATCCAAAACACATCTCTTGGTAATTCATAAAACATACTTTTTCTGTTACTGTCAAATAATCTGCACACACTTGATTGCACACACTTGATAGGTAAATATGAGAACTAATCATATGTTAACGTGATTAGTAAATGAGCTTATTGTTTATTCTTGTTGCACGTGTTGAAGGTGAAGACTAGATGCAACTTCTGGATTGAGTTATTATAGCTAGCATGGTTTTCTTGTTTCTGACTATTAAAGTCTCAATTGGGACAAGTAAATGAGAAATGATGAGTTAATAAGACGCCAGATTCAAGTAAATTAACTAACTGGCTCATAGGTGATGTTTAATCTTTTAGTGTGGTTTGACTTCAGTTCATAGCGATCAATCAACTAACTCCAATATAATCTTGAATTCTATATGAAAATGCATTTACATATTAGTACTTGGGATTTCATTCTTAAATGTCCCAACTTTAATGAGAGTAACTCAGTATCTGATTTGTTTATAAGGTTTATTTGTTATTCTCTATCCCAAAATACTACATAAGTGTTACGTATTTCCTTTTTGGGTTGTGCCAAAGTAGAATTGCATTTCCTCTTTTGCAAATGATCCTACATACTTTTAATACTTTATCCTTCCTTTTACTTAAATCATCAACTTATCATTCCAACTTTACTTGTTTTTTCTCTGCTACAATAAAAGTAGAGGATATTTTAGGTTTTTTTTTATCCCACTGTCTTAATCTGCGTGTCCGCTAAAAACTTTTGGATAAACTTTTTATCCAAAAGTTTTGTAACTATTATTTTGGGATGGAGGTAAGATTTCGTGTTTAGCAAATAGAAGGGCAGCCCAGTGCACATTGGTGTGTCCGCAAGGTGAGGGTCCGGGGTAGGATCCCACCACAAGGATGTATACAAAGCAAGCCTTCCCTCGTTATTTTAACAAGAGGTTGCTTCCAAGACTTGAACCCATGGTCTCTCGCGCCAAGGCTTCATATTTAGTCAATGCTGAACAAAAATTGCAACAGGGACTTGTGTATTTGATCTCACGAATCAAACGAATAGTAAATGTGAGATGCAGAGTAAAACTAATAGTTTTGATTGATTAACTTTGTAGGAGCTGAAAAAGGTTCCAAGAACCCGCAGAAGGTGAGAGTGGGGAAAGTCACTATTGATCAGCTGAGGGCAATTGCTCAAGAAAAGTTGCCAGACCTGAACTGTTCAAGTATTGAGTCAGCAATGAGGATTATAGCCGGCACAGCAGCTAATATGGGCATCGATGTTGATCCTCCCATTCTTCGACAAAAGGAGAAAGTAGCTTTGTGAATCATGTAGTTTCTGTTTTCCTTAGATTTTCCTTTGTGTTGCCCATCACACATCACAGTTTGCACTCTTCTCCCATGTTTCTTAGTTTACCTTATAGGGAGCAGAATGCATTATAGTTATTCATTTGATGGGTGGTGAGCCATGACCTGAAAATAGAAGAGTGAATTGTTGATGGAAAGTGAGATGTGGCTGTATGTGTTTGGACTTGTAATAGAAGTTCTAGACTTGCAGAGAATATACAAACTATGTATGGCAGTAGGGATGGAACAAGACTGGGACTGAGCGGGTGAAAAATGGGGCACCCGTTCTTTTGGTCCCGTTACTGGTCCAAGCAGCTTCCGATGGTTCAGTGACAATAGGCTATAACCAATGTAAAAAAGTATTAACACAACATTACATTACCCAGTACCACAAAAGCTCCCAACCGTAAAAGCTCCCAACCCTGGATTACCCGCCCTTCTCCCACTTACGGTTGGGTCAGATGTTAAAGCTCCCAACCCTGGATTACCCGCCCTTCTCCCACTTATGGTTGGGTTAGAGGGTCAGATGTTACGCAACTTTACTCCTGTATTAAAGCACATTAAAACTCTTTACAAATGATTCATGATGAAAATTACGTAAAAAATTGCATGGATGCCATTTAAATTAATGGGTGCTCCATATCAAAGTAGTGTAGACAATTTAGTCCGTCATTTTTCTATCATATTCTTAATTCAAAAATATTGAGTCTTTGGCTCCATTGAAAATGAGTGTATTACCTTGAAAATATTTACCACGAGTTTATATTAATAGTAAGTAGTAATAAATGGAAATATAAAAAACCAAAATATTAAGCGCCTGATACTTGTTAAGTTGAATTACATTATTATTTAATCTAGTTATACTAAAGTTTGAAAAATGTATGAGTGTAATTGATTTAATCCAAAAGTGGTCTCATTCATTTTTGTTCAATAAAGTTTTATTGTTTTATCCTAAGACTCAATAAGTCCTATTTTGAAAACAAAATATACTCAGTTCTATAAAAACCTAGCAACACATCAGAGATGATAGTGCGACCATGATGAGCGGGCAATTGGGAAGAGGAGTGCTGCCTTGCAATTGTTCTCTCTCCGACTAGATTGAAGGTAACATCGTTTGGGGAGATTAGTCTCTCCAACTGGGCTGCTCTTTTTTTGTTGTTGTGTTTTTTCTATTCTACGACTGTTCTTTCCTAGGCCCTGGTGCTACGACGTGTTTTGTCTCTCATGATGTGAGAAGTTGCGTTGGTGTCCCGATCGGCTTTGTTTGGTTAGGGGTTTCTGTCTGTCTTCTTTTGGACTGCGTAGTGTATGGAAGAAGCATAAAGAGTGGGTGTCTCCACTCGTTTCTACATCTCCTCAAAACGAAGTAAGAAGAAGAATCTAGTGTTCACTCATATTACATCATTTCGTATTCCTCTGAAACCACTTTCGTGCTAGAAAGAATTTTGGGGAAAGATTTTATTCCGGCATTATTTCTTCTTTGGTTATACATGTTTTTATTTCAGTTTGAGTATGTTTGATTTTGATATTTGGATTTTTGAAGTACTTTTGATAGACAGTGTTTTGGTTCCAGTCGTTTTAGGCTTAAAATAGCACATTTTGTGTCTTGCGAGTCAAGTTGCTTTGTATGAAGTGATTGATTCTATGTCTATTCCTAGAACTTACGATTGGATCTGTTGTAACTGTCTAAAGGGTGTGTTGTATGATTTATTGATAATAATATAAAAGCTGCGCATTTATTTAAAAAAATATGCTTAGTTCAATTTTAGATCTTTGTCCACATTTTACTCATATTGTGAGCAATTGCTTTATTATGATGTACTCATGTACATTAGTTATTATTGTGTACATAATTATGTTGTATAGAATGTATATAAGATTGATAGTCGTATACTCGAGAGAAACTCTCTTCTTGTATGGAAAATAATTTGATATTCCAATCTCTTAATTTAGTGAGAGGCTAATTAATCCCATGTTTCTTGGGAAGTTTGACCGAGATGGATGCCCGAAACATGCGCTCTGTGTCACAAGGATGACTATATATAAGTTAGGATTGACCCTTTTAATTTGTTCTATCTTTATTGATATAGCATTGTGCTACGTCTTGAATCAAACAGATTAAAAATAAATACAATAAAATGAGCCAAGAAGAAGGTGGCGCTGAGAAGGGTGCTCCCCGCCTGAACGAGAGGATCCTCTCTTCTCTGTCAAGGAGATCTGTTGCTGCCCATCCTTGGCATGATCTTGAGATTGGTATTTCTCCATCTTATTTTGCCTATTTGCTTCTTGATCCATAATATATGTATGTACATATAGCTGATTTAAGATCAAAATATCAAACGAGAACAATATTTAACGTGAAAATGTGCGAACGACACTTTCAACCTAATGTGATGCACTATGGAATTTGTATCTTGCATTTTTTCACGTTGGCGGAATATTTACGAAACAGTCACCCCATTTATTTGATATTGACGTTTTTGACCAAAGTACAAAAAGTGCAACAAATGAGTCTCATAGTGTATCAAGTTGGGTTAAAGTGCCTCTTCGGACGTTCACATGGGCGTAGCTAGGGGGCGCCAAACCTGGCCCCGGCTCAGCCCAGATTTTAAAAATGTCTATATTTTTAGTATAACAAAATCTACTTAATTTATTTTCCAAAAATATTTTTTGTACCGGCCCAGTCTAGCCTAGTGCCCTGGCTCTTCCCCTAGACGTTCACACATACATATATAAATATGTAATAGACAAAGTATGTATACTCTAAAGCACAGGTCAGGAATTTCCTGACCGGAGCCCCGTTCGGTCTCCTCCATTTGGGGGCCTTCCCGGTGGTATTTTTTGCTCAAATTGTTTGTGTATGTTCCTCATCAAGTCTAGTTCATCCATACCAAATTTGAGCAAAAAATGCAATTGGGAAAGTCATCAAATGATTTTTGCAAGTTAACTGGTCCGGAATATGTATTTTCCGGACCAGTTAACTTGCAAAAATCATTTGACGACCTTCCCGATTGATTTTTTTGCTCAAATTTGGTATGGATGAACTAGACTTGATGAGAAACATACACAAAAAATTTGAGAAAACAATACCACCGGGAAGGCCCCCAAATGGAGGAGGCCGGACGGGGCTCATGTCCGGAAATTCCGGACAGGAATAGCTCTCTACTCTAAAGTGCTTCTAATAATGTGGCGATTGTAAAATCAGAGAAAGGAGCAGGTAGATAATAATGTAACATTATTGCATGAATTTCTCAGTTTCATTTCTTCCTAGTGTTTTTTTTAATCATGAATTGATTCTTGTTGTTTGGTTTGTTCTTATTCCTTGTAGGAGCTGAAGCTCCCAATATTGTGAATGTTGTAAGTAATAATAATCCACACACGGTGTAATTAGTAAAGGCCAGTTTGTTTTATGTAGCATATATATCTAACTTTTCAACATTCTACAGGTTATTGAAATAACAAAAGGAAGCAAAGTGAAATATGAACTTGACAAGAAAACTGGTCTGATTAAGGTGTATCATCATATCCCACAATAATATATAAATATCATCATCCCCTTAAGTTCATCTATAATTTACATATTAAGAATAATTCTACAGGTCGACCGTGTCTTGTATTCATCTGTGGTGTACCCCCACAATTATGGCTTCATTCCTCGCACATTATGTGAAGACAATGACCCAATGGATGTTCTAGTCCTCATGCAAGAACCTGCCATACCCGGTTGCTTTCTTCGAGCCAGGCCCATAGGGTTGATGCCCATGATTGATCAGGTTCTAAGTTTAGGTTAATAGATGGATTTCACATTTACTTTATACATATGATCTTTCTCACAAGTGTAACATAAATCTGATTCCTCTTGGTGTGTATAGGGAGAAATGGATGATAAGATCATAGCAGTTTGTGCTGATGATCCCGAATATCGTCACTATACTGATATAAACCAACTCCCTCCTCATCGTCTAGCTGAAATCAGACGCTTCTTTGAAGATTGTAAGCTTGTTTTCATGTTTTCAATAAAATTAAACGCCTTCACTTACAAACTAATTGTCATTTAAAGTAAAGTTGTAGTTTTAGACTGATACTTATTTTTGGGGAATTGGTTTTACTTTTGTCATAAGCTGAGAGACACACCCTACAAATGGCAAACGAATACTACTTATATGAAATAAGTAGAGGGCAACTTAATTTCTTTACTATATGTTTTACTGTCTTTCTACACACTCCGTAATCTTGTATCCCAAATTTGAACACATTATAAATCTGAACCCCACTTACTTTTTACTTTTATATTTGATAATTTTATCAATCTTTTCACCTTCCATCCATATTACTTTTTCATTCTTATAGAAAGTTAGATGGTAAAAAGCTACTATCTCTTTCATTTCCTCAAAACTAGTGCCAAACAACCGGAATTGGATCCTCTGCCTTAAGGCAGAGTGCCTTGCTTAAATCAATGGCAGGAATTAAAACTCACACCTCGAGATTGGTGTAAAAAGTGGGATCCTTCATCTCCAACCATCAGTTTTTTGATCTGAGGGCTTAAAATAGCCAGGCACCCTCCTAGTCTGCTTAATCCAGGAAGAGATGCCGGATCCCAACCAACCAAACCAATTTTCATTTTCGGAATGTAGGAGTAAATAGTTTCAACAAAATTGCCTGTACTTAACAGATACATAAGTCTTTTTTGAACTTACAGAGCATGTTAAAATGTAAATATCCCCGAGTGCTTAGAGTGACTCTTTTTTTTCTTAAATCGATATTTAGACAAGAAGAATGAGAACAAGAATGTTGCTGTCAACGACTTCCTGCCCTCGGGCCGTGCTGTTGATGCTATCCAGTACTCTATGTAAGGGATACTCTGTACATTTCAATTTTTGGGCATCATATTGTTGTTGGTTGGGTCGGTCGGGTCGTTATATAAATACATACGTATGTGTTTTTTTGCATCTTTACAGGGATCTTTATGCCGAGTACATACTACACACCTTGAAGAAGTAAATATAATGGCAGAAGTTGAAACATAAGAGCTAACGAAATATGGAGTGCACCAACTCATGGGATCATAACATCAATACATTTTTTACTTATAAAGTACTTTAGGTTGACATTTTTTTACTTTTTGTATTGAAATATAAATTGGAGAAAAATAAAACACTTGTACTACAATAGTGATCAGTTTTGATTATTTGAATAATAATAATATTGCTTGGCTATCTGATAACAGAAAATTCAGGCAACTGCATTTTATCCAAAAATTTGTCAATTCTCAAAATGGAAAAACCATAACAAAGTAATAAGGACTGAAATAATCTACAAGATAGATGTGGTCTAAACCATGATGACATCACCCTTAACGCGTCAATTGTTTCAACGGGGCTGGCTGAAGAGAGCTTTGCCGACGATCCCGGTCGCCTCAACATATCGTTCAACACACCTGGAGATGCAACTACTCTCACTCCCACTCAAGCTACTCCCTGGCTTGGTGATACATTTTTCAAAACATTTGTCTCTCACAGTCTGCAATAATTAAGATAGAACATAAAATTGTTTGGAGTCCACTATAGATCTGTTTATATACATACAACTAATACAAGGATCACATATATACTTTGAAGGAGCGCATTTGGTTCTTGCATACTAGGAAATGTAATAACCTTGGAAGGTAATGTGAGATTAGGGAAACATAACACTAACCTATGCAATGTGGGATTATAGAAATGGTGTAAAAGAGTTTGAACGGGGGCGTGGGCTAACTAAAAAATTACATGATGTGTGTGCTTGAGATAATCCACAACCACAACAACATTCAAGCCTTATTCCCAAAAGATTTTGGGGTCGGATAAGATGATCCAAAATGTAATATTAACCTATTTCAATACAAATACAACAACCATCTGGTTTAAGGGAACCAATGGAATATTACCATGATTATAATACAATTAGCAAATAGATCCTACGTGACAAGATTAACACATCATTACATCAGTTCTCTAAGTGATCTGAGATTACCCCAACAATCTAAAAAAAACCAAACTGAACAAGTTAAACTCACATTACCTTCCCTAAGAGGTCTAGAAAGTCAAACAAAACAAAGTAACCTTTTTTTTGGGTAGTACATGGGAGAAACAATGTTAGGCTATGATTACATTGATAATTTTAGAAAAACCAATCTTAAAGTTTTGAGTCATCAAAATTACAGAGTGTTTGGCTAGTTGGAACATGCCTTGAGGCATTTAAAAGTATAGCATTTAAGAGAAAAGTTATATACATCTAATTGAAAAATGAGGCTTTCAAAACTGCCAGTATAGCATCAGATATTATGTGGAATGCCAAAAAGCTCCCTAGTTAGTCCCACTTCTATCCCAATAAAGTTAGCAAAGAACATTATATGTGCTCCGTAGACAACTATGAAAGGAGACCACATATGAGTAACTCAATTGAACTATAATTAATTACTTATTTTGTAGAAAATCATTTAGGATTTTGTTTTCTTTTGCCTGTTCGGCAATGTACCACACAGAAATTCAGCACTTCTGATTATAACAGACTTTTGAGCAAAAGCGAGATACAGGATAAAGTGTAACCAAATTAGATTTGATCTGTGTTAAGATTGGTTGGGTCATCCTCATTAAAAAGAAAAAGATTTTAGGTATAACCAATAGAAAAATAAACAAATTGAACTTCATGATTGTAAAACATACAAAAGCTAAATACATTCAATAATAACAAAAACCAGAACTTCTCCGTTATTGTACACACTGATTGCAAGGAGCTTTAACAATTTGTACGCCTAAACACATATCTGCTTTTGAAACACTAGCATAAAATTTAAGAAGTCTTAGAGCACAGTTAGTTTAACATATCAGTTATAGGAGTTTTGTACCATTATAAAACGATAAGCGAGCTTGTTAAAAAAAAGAGAAAGGGTAGAAGCAGTACGGAACCTCGATGAATTGCTCAAAATAAGCTTGTGCGAGCTGATTTTTTATCTCATCCATCACATTTCCAGTCGAAAATTGTGACGGCGATCCGCTTGACGGAGAAGAGAACGAATCCATCTTTCTTAGCAGTTGATTAATTAGTTGATGGCAAGGAGAGCTGATACTGAGGAACCCTAGATAGACGGCCACGGTTGCTGAAACCCTTTGTCCTTTACTTGATCCAGGTGGAATCCCCCAACACGAAGCTGGTCCCCCAACTTTCTAATATTACCTCTGTCCCCCTAAGTTTGGGACAAAAGAAAGTGACACGGTTATTAATAAAAGTGAGTTTGTGTGGTTGATATTGAATTGATAAAGTAAGAATAAAGTAAGAATGCTTTAGAATCACACAAATTTTACCAAATAAGGTATGAGACAATCTTAGTGGTACGGACCGAAAAGGTAAAATTGGACAATCATAGCGGGACGGAGGGAGTAGTAAATTAGAGTATGAGAATCACTTCTTCACTTTCACCCAAACACTCCAACAGGAAACAGAAGCAGCTTTAAGAATCAGATCCAAACATCCCGTAACTAAATGAAGCCCTCCCTATATTTGTTTCCTTTGTCCCGTAAAATAGTTTCCGATTTCCTTTTTGAGTCATTCCAAATAATAGTCCCATTTTGCTTTTTGGAAAATTTTATGTGCCTATCATTTATTTTCTTTTTTCTGACTCGATAACAATCATACATTTTCACTTTATTCCTAATTTCTTAAACTCCGATAAATCCTAGTGAGAACGATTTTATCATTTTATGGTACGGAAGGAATATATAAGTTGTACACACGTCTTTAATTATCCATGTACACAATCAATTCATTTTTAAAAAGGACAAATTGTCTGCCAAAATGTGTACAATTTGTGTACAATTTTTGTCTACGAAAAGGATTACATGTCTCTTTATTCGAACACATCAACTTCGAATGGGAAATAATGAAATAAAAACTTTGGATGTCAAATTTCAAAATTGCCCATCCAATCTTGACTATCCCGAATTTAACTAGTGTCTATAAAATAATGTTTTTTAAATTATTGGCTTTTTTATAGTCACAATTCCAAATAATAGTGGGCTTAGCTCAATTGTATTACTCATATTTATTTATTATAAATACATTTATCAAGGATTCTTAGAGGGTAACTTGTTCTATTATTTCACATGGTATCACGGGCTTAGGTTATTTTTGTTTTCCGGCTCCAATCTCTTTCTTCCCAATTTCCGCCGTAGCCACACTATGTCAACAGAACCCATCATATGATCTTCCTCCGTGATAACGGCGGAGGTCTGCACTAACCAGACCTCCAGCGAGCCTATGTCTTCTTCCGCTGTTGCGAATGGTATCTCCCCTATGCCAATTTCGACGGTCTTCACCACCGGCGCCACTCCCTCTGCGACGCAGCCGATGCTATCTTCTCCAGCGTTTTCGTCCTCCACATGGACGATGCCAGGCAACTATGGTTTGTTCAGTAGCTTTCCAAATCAATTTCCATGACAACCTGCTCCAGTCTCCTCTTCTCCAGCACAGGTGCAGACCTCACGATCAGGTCCATTCCCATGTATGTGTCAAGGATTCAACATGACATTGACAGGTTCTACGTTGACATGGTTCATGAATCTTTCGAATGGCGGCATTCGTTCGTTGTCTGAATTCATCAACCTTTTCAATTGACAGTTCGCGAGCAGAAGGATATTGGAAAGACGGACCATTGACCTTTATCAAGTCACACAGAGGCGTGGTGAATTGCTGAGGAATTATTTGCATAGATTCAAAAAAAGGAAGGTGTTGATCCCAGAATGTGACGTTCATACCACCATTGAAGAATTTAGAAGAGGTTTATACGAAGACTCGGAGCTGTACTGCAAATTGACGAAATACCCTTATCGGTCCTTCAAAGATGTCCAAGCGAAGACGTTGGCTTTCATCGATCTAGAAGAAGACTTACGATCCCGTCGCAAACATGTTGAGTATTAAGGGTGCACAGGAAATCAGATTGTCCTTGGAGGCATGATTACAAGCATGGAAAACCTTATTCAGGACCTGAGAAATAAGTCGTCACGCCATGACAGAATGGACCACACGAGATGATTGAAATCGTCGGACGGGGGACATATCGTCTGATGTTAGATAGGTTATGAGGAGCTGCAATACGGTAATCTTAAAGTTGTTTCATTTTTAGTTTATTATTTTCTTTTACATATTGTCGTCATTTCCGTGATGAGATAGACCCGACGAGATGATTGAAATCGTCGGATGGGGGGCATATCGTCTAACGATAGATAAGTTTTGAGAAACCGCATGATACGGGTGTAATTTCCGTGTGTATGTTTGTGTTTTTAACTAGTTTTGGTTGTTTAATATTTCGGAAATTACACACTTTTGGTGTAATAGATATGTTTGTAAAATAGCTGTAATATGTTTAGCTTAGGTTTATTCTGAGCTTAAACAGGCCCAAGATCAATCAAATGATCATTGGTGAAGGAAGGTGCAAGAGTACAAGACAAAAAGAAGGCAAAATCCTGATTTTTGACCTGTACCCGGTCGAGTATACCATGTACTTGATCGGGTACCAACTTGACTTTCAATCAGATCAATCAGGAAACAAAGGGACGTGCAGGGAAAGATTTGGCCACGATCAGTTGTCATACCCGATCAGGTACACCGACACACCCGATCGGGTATGCCTTTTATTTCCACCCTGAAATCTATCGAGTATGCCTCGAATTAACGTTTTTACACATACCCGATCGGGTACCCTATTTGTACTCGATCGGGTACCTGAGCTGCACTCCCAAAAAGCCTATAAATACACCTCCTTCCCTTCACAATTAGAGACCAATTCCTTTACACTTCTGTGCTCAGTTTAGAATAGCATTTCTTTATATTTTTTCTAGCATGTTTAGTCTCCAAATGAGAAGCTAAACTCTCATTTCTTGGTGTTGCTCTTGAAGCTTGTTGATTATTAAAGTTGTGAGTTATTTTCTTAACTTCTTTCCTTGTATATTAATTCTTCCTTTAAATACTATTTCTATATCAATGTTGGGGAGTGTTACTAAGATGACAATTAGTTAACATCTTGACATTAGTTATAGTAATAGTTATTTCTTCCTCTATGTTAATATTGGGGAGTGTTACTAAGATGACAATTAATTAACATCTTGATATTAACTATAGTAGGATTCATCTTCTTTAATATTCTTCCTTGAGTATTAATTAATTCTTATTCATATTTCATATTAATATTTTGAACATTACTTAAAAGATCAACTAGTTTTGTTTCATATATTAATTATTACTAGAAACGATCAACGAACCAATGGTTAATCGTTGATGGTTTCACAAGTAAGTAACTTCGGTTTATTAATGCACGGTCGTGGTTAATAAACTTAAGAGGGATTAATTTTGTTGGTTAAACCGAAACCGTTGCGTTGAGGTTATCAATCTCAATTGATTTCATCAAGGAGTTAAGAGATTAAATGCTACTATCAAGTCGGTATATGGCGGTGTTCTATACTTCACCAATAGTAAGGGTTATTAATGAACGGTCGTTGTTAATAACTACCCTCGATGAATTGGATATACTCCTCGATTGAGTATTCGAGAGGGAATAAGTTATAGATATAGCAATGATCGACTAAAATATATCAACAAGTGGAAAGTAGCAATGCCAAGTCCCTTTTATCTTTGAATTAAATCACATATAAGTCGTTCATCTTCGTATTTAATTAAATTAAATCACTCAATCCCAAAACCCCCCTTATTTACTAATTTTACTAAAAAGAGAATTATTTCTTTCCATGTGGATACGAACTCTTCTTCACCTATACTGCGTATAAGTGCTAGTATCGAATATTATTTTGACGCACCGTGACAAAGTGCTCGTCAGTGGGGGACTTGGAACACCTTCTATGCTCTTTAAGAACTTTGTGATGCCTTCAAAGTTTGCAACAATGCCTGAAAGTGACAATTTGGAATCTGGTATAGTAATCTTTTTAATATATTACTTTCCTTTAGCAATCTTAAACATCGGAGGGCCGTTGGCTTCTAGCCAACAATCAACGTTAGCAAATCTTTTTGCACATGAATGGTCGACAATGGACGAGACAATGTGTTGACACAAGTCGAACAACGCCTTACACATTCATCCAAACAAAAATGATGGAGGCTTACATAATTCTAAGGGAAAAGGTGGGGTTTTCATGTCTTATAAGGGTGAGTACAAATACCACCGATTCCCTGCAATGTTTTGGCCAAAACTATACATAAGAACACACTACAGTTGACATCGACACGAATGACATCGACGTGAACCTTAAACACTCATGCTTAAGTTGACGTTATTACTAAAAATACAAACGAAATATTGTTTAATGTTTTTGCAGGATGTAGTCACAATCACGGAGCCCAACTCGTCATTCATCCAAAGATGGACGAAGTCTCCCTTGCCAACTGAAATGTCAACATCAACATGGACGAAGTTTCAATTTTCCAATGTCTAGTCATCAACACAAATTTGGAGAAGGATGATAGAATATTAGCTTTTGTTCTTCATCGCTTCAATCAAAGAGACAAATTAGATAAAAAAACTACTTGCATGGAAATTGACGGAATCGTCTCGTCAGACGAGTGACAAGATGAAGGAAATATCTTGTCAGACAAATGACGGGTTGAAGGAAGCGTCTTGTCACACAAATGACGAGTTCACAGAAGCATCTCGTCAGACAAATGACGGGTTGATGACATGTCTCGTCAGACGGATGACGAGTCGAAAGCGCAATATCAAGGATGACAAGTTTAAGCCTTTCAAAAGTTTGAAAAGTTGCTACTTAACGGGTTGACATGTGCACTCATACAACTCAACTTATCGAAATGGGAAAATTGTTGGGCCAGGGAATATTAAGTAAAGAATAAATGAAGTCGGCCCAAAAGCGGTGAGAAAAACGGAGCCGCCCACGGACAACCCTCACCGATATCGGACAAAGATAGAAGGTCCGCTAGTGGCTAACATTTTTGAATAGAAGCTAAGCACGACTAACAACCCACCAAAATTGGAGGAGTGGAGTAGCTTGGCTAAAAACGCAAATGAGTCTCTGGGAGCATAATAATAATATAAAGTGTAAGGACCGTTTCCGTCTCCGGCTCAGGTCTCCAACCTTCTAAACTAAACTCACACACACCACTCTAGGGCTAGGCCACAACATCTCCCATGTTTA